CACCCCTATATATGGGTTGGTTCAAATACTAACCAAGATTTTTGTGTTAACTTTGTTAACCAAGCTCAACCAATCGTATTCCATCTTTTTTTAGGTTCACATATAACTCATATATTTATGACAAGGGTAATTAAGTAATTTGTCATTTATGTAACTCCCAAATCATTAATTGGGAGTTACAAATAAAAAAATCTCAATAATTGATGATTATGTAATATTGATATTTTTTTATGTGTTCATGTTTTGTAATTTCGATTTATTCTATCCATAATGATATTGATTTTGTAATTGTTAAAGAATTTTCGATTTTAAAGATTTCGATATCGTCCGAGTAATATGGATAAATCTATTGGAAAACAGATCGACAACAATGAGAATGAAAATGTTAAAATCATCTACGACTACAATCGGAATTCGAGTTCATATGTAATTGTTAAAGAATTGCTCACAAGTCTTTATATTGTGTTCATATATACACTAGCTGCATATCTCAACATTGACTTGCTTCTGAATGTGTTCATAATGAATGAACTATTGTTCACAAACTGTTCATATTGTGTTCATATGTACATTAGCTGCATATCTCAACATTGACTTGCTCCTAAATGTGTTGATAATGAAGAAACTATTGTTCACAAACTGTTCATATTGTGTTCATACTTGTTTATTTATTTATTTACTTTCGTGTAACAACTATTCTTATTATATTCATATTGTGTTCATAAATGTTATACAGTCCAAGTTCATATATATGTCAATTTTTGTTCGTATTTGACACAATGGTTCACACATATATATATATATATATATGTGTGTGTGTGTGTGTGTGTGTGTGTGTATGTGTTCATATGGTTCTCACATTAATAAAAATAATGAGATTTTTTGATTTTGTAACTCTCAATTAATGATATGGGAGTTACATAAAAAGGAAAATGACCTAAATACTCTTTTCTTCTTTGTTTACATATGTTCTTTGAAATTGTAAATTTAAAATTTTAATTTTTTATCATGATTAATCACAACCCTTTATTGTAAGAATCAATGGCCAAGATTGGTTAACAAAGTTAACACAAAAATTTTGGTTAGTATTTGAACTAAGCTCTAATATATATATAGGGGCTCATTTAAGGAAGAACTGAGTTGTTTGTGGTTTCATGTGATAATTTAGGAATGTAAAATCAAAATTAATTGGAAGTTTGAAACATATAGAATTAATAAACAAATATTTAATCTAAATTTAGTAATTTACTAACATGCCCCTTTACATTAATTTAAAAACAATAATTAATATATTAAAAGAATTGGTTGAGATTGGATCTCACGGTTATCACAAACAAAATAGTTCTCATTTGATTAATCCCCCATATATATATAAAAGAAAAAAAAGAAATATATATATGAGTTACGTCCATTCTCACCATCACCGTCATATCTCATCTTTCTCTCTCTCTCTCTCTAAAAAATAATTCTCTTTAAAATATCTCGCAAACTGTATGAAAGAATCGAAGTAACAATCACGAATTCGGAATACACTCTGGGAACCCTTTCTAAAGCATCCGCTTTTATTAGGGTGTTTACGTTAGAGTCCTTGAGACCGGTTTATAAATTATGTTTATGTTTAAGTTTACGGATTGATGTTGATAAAATTATGATATCTTTCATGTTTAGAATTCTAGGATTGGTTAAAATTGATGTAGAAAGTAAAGGGTAGATTATGGTTTCAATATGGTTAAATTGTGGGTATATGTTTAACCGCACACCAATTGTTCGATTAAATGTCGAGAATAGTAAAATTGCATGATTAAGCTTAGGTTAGCGATCATTAGACTTATTTACTGTTTTGCATGTTGAAGTATGTTTAGAGCATGTAAATGTAGCGAATCATTGAATTCAAATCATAAAAGTTAGTAGGGAAGTTTAAAAAATCGGATTTTACTGACTGTGCATGTCCGTAATTTAACAGTGTATAACTCACAAACTGTAAATTGGAATAAGCTCGTATTTTGAAGTTAGAAAGATCTTA